CATGTTGCTTTCTTTACGTGTTTTCACCCTTTCCTTTTCCTGATTTGGGAGAGAATTAGCGTTTGTAGGTTTGTTTGTTCTCAAGCTTTAGCAACAGAAAGAGCTTTTGTACAGTTGTACAGCACCAAAGGGTTGATCTCCTCCAGGCTCTCCATCAGATTCCTCGGCCTGCTTCTCTCTGTCGATCAGGCGGTCCCCAGCAGCACCGTGTGAGTCGTGCTGGCTGCCAGCACTGTCCCTGCTCCTTTTCTTCATGCAGAGCACTGCTAAAAAGAAAAAAAAACCAACCTCCTGTTGCTGTTTTTGCCGTTCTGTCTGCAGCACGCCTGCCTAAAAAGCGGGTAAGCAAAGCCCGCGGCAGGCCACGCCGATAGCGGCGGCTGCGCGGCGCTGCCCCTGCCACGCGGATTTTGGGGCCAGCTCCAGTGCTGGCCACGAGGCCGCTCCTGGTGCTTGTTGTGGCCCGTGTGGCTGCTCACTCGGGGCATTGGGACAGTCCTGGTGGCACGGCCCGGCTCTCTCCAGGGTTCCAGGGATGGTTTTCCATGCTCAATTTTGGATTTACAGTACCACATGAAGCACAACAATACAACCAAAAGAAGCAACACAACACTCCCAGCTATGATGCTGGTCTTGATCCAGCTGTTGGATTGGGTACCTGGAAAAGAAAGAAGATCCAGAGGCAGCATCCCAAAATAAACCTGGCTCTTCCTGGCGTTGGGGCAGAGGGAATTTGGCCTCAAATCCCACCCTGATCCCTCATTCCAGGAGATCTCACTCCAAGCCGGGGCAGAGGCGGCACTGGACAAGGACGAGTGCTGCGGTGTGATGTCGTGGCTTGCCTCAGTTCCCTTGGCTTCTCCCTAAAATTTCCTTCCCCAGGTCGGGTGTCAATCGCCCTTCCTTTCCCCACCCTTGACCCCTGCTGGGCACTGTCTATCAAACCAGAAATTCCAGAGGGCATCAAGTGATTGGCAGGTTCAAAGGGTGCTCTCCACCCCCTGGGGGGCCATTGGCCCACCCAGGTGTCCCCCTCACCTGAGACCCCCTCCCCCTGTACCTGGTTGGTGCTCCCTGGGTCCCCTCCCCTGCCCCCTGCCCAGGTTAAAGGGCAAGCAGACCACGAGGTCGGGGTTCTGTTGGAGAATTCTGTTGGAGAGGTCATTGGAGTTGTTGCAAGATTCAGAGGCCGTGCCACCAAATAAAAACTCTGGATTAAAAACTCTCCATCGGGACCCGCTCCTCTCTTCACCTCGCCTTAAAGGTTCCTCCAGCTCAGGAGGGCCTGAGGAGTGAACCCTCAAAGAAAGCTCCAGCTGCAAGCTCTGGAGCTCGGGGCACGCCCGGGCTCGTCCCCACGTGCTCAGCTGCAGGCACAGGCACTGAACAGCGACTCTGGGGAGAAAACACCACAGGTGCCGCTATTCGGGCAGCAGCCGAGGCCAGACAGACCCGTCAGGGCAGTCCCGTTAGATGAGAATCCCAGAATTCCCAAATTCCCCAGTTACTGGGTCAGAAAGGAACTCTGGAGATCTCCCAGTGCTGCCAGGACGGGGTCACCAGAGCAGGGGACACGGTGACACGGCCAGGTGGGTTTGGGGTGGTTCCAGAGGGGCACACTCCATGGGAAGAGGTTCTCACACGGAGGTGGAGCTTCTCGGGGTTGGGTTTGGGGCCACCACTCCTTGTCTTGTCCCTGGCACCTCTGGGAAGAGCCTGGACATTCCCAGGAAAGGGATTTTGGGAGGAGCTGGAGGGTGCTGGACGCGGGATCCCCGATCGCCCTTCCTGGCTGGGCATGGAAAAGCTGCCCTGGGCACTCGGGGACACTTGGGGACATTTGGGGACACTCAGGAGCTCGGCTGGACATGGATGGGGTGGCAGCTTACCTGGGCTGGGAGGGTGTGTGGTGTTTGCTGGCGAGGGGAGAGAACAGGGACAGGGGTTGGAGCTTCCCTCTGCATCCCAGGGAGAGCCGGACCCCGGAGAGCGAGATCAGCCCAGCCCAACCTCAACATTCCTACCACAAATCCCACCCCCAAACCCCAGCTTTTCCTGGCTCTCAGGAGAGCAGGACCAGCCCATCCCAACCTCAACATTCCCATCCCATCCCCTCATCCCAACCCCAGATGCCAACTTTTCCTGCTCTCAGGGGACCAGCCCATCCCACCTTTGCCCACCTGTCCCCGGCTCTCACCTGGGCAGAGCTCCGCGGGAGTGGTGACGGTGACATTATTGCTGCTGACGGGGTTCTGCACTCTGCATGTCAGCAGCTCCCGCTTATCTGAGAGTGATTCATTCACCACCAGCACCGGGCCCTCAGCCAGTGGCCGATCCCGCGCCCTCCAGCTGTAGGAGACGTTCCCGAGGCCGGCGCCGGGCGCGGAGCAGCGCAGGGAGAAGCTGCAGCTCCCGTCCGAGCAGTTCTGGGCCTCGCACGTCACCGTGGGCTTTGCCAGCTCCCCTGGGGGCATAGGGGTGTCACAAACCTCTCTTTTTGGGTAAAAAAACCCCCAAAACAGCACTAAAGGCACCTACCGAACACCTGGAGGGTGAAGGTGGATGTTTCATCCCCGATTTTTACAGAGTAGATCCCGGCATCCTCCATCCGCAGCTGGGAGATGCTGAGCGCGCGGCCTCCCTCGGAAACAGCAAAATGTTCTTGGAATTCTTCTTTATGAAACACAGGTTGAAAAGGATCCTTAAGTTCCACAGTCACTATGGGTTCATTCCCAAAAAACCAGACTATGGCATTTCCATCTGTGTTTCTGTCTGCGTTGAGGCTGCGGAGGGTCACGGACCCGCCCAGGAGCTGGATCACCTCTGTGGTGTCACTGGCAGGGGAGAGAAAGAGCGGAGGGAGCATGAGATGGGGCTGGGATGGAGGTGGGATGGAGGGGAGATGGAGGGATGGAGGTGGGATGGAGGGGGGATAACCGTGGGATGCAGAGATGGAAGGCAGGCTGAAGATGGGCTGGGGGTGGGATGAAGGGAGGCTGAAGATGGGATGAAAAGGGGAAATTAAGATGGGACCAAGGCGGGATCAGGGTGGGATCAGGGTGGGATCAAGGAGGGATCAAGGAGGGATCACTCAGGCCACCAGGTGGGATGAAGTTGCAGAACCCGGACACTGAAGCCCATCAGGGCTGGGGGTGTTTGAAGGCTCATGGGGGGCTCATGGAAGGGTCCCTGGGAGAAGGAAGAGCGCGAGGCCACCCCCAGGCTGAGCCAAGGATGGAAGGAGGGGAGGAGGGGGGCTGCGAAAGGGGAGAGGGGAGAAGGGAGCCAGGGGGAGAGGGGAGATGGAGAGGAAGGAGCAGAGGAATTCCCTGCCGAGGGGAGGCACTCGCCAGCGCCGCGGGATGGGAGGAAGGCGGGAAGGAGAAGGGGGGCAGGGGGGAAATGAGATGCCTGGAGAGGTGGTGAAATCAGCATCCCTGAAGGTGTTTGAGAAATGACTGGACATGGCACTTAGTTGACATGGTGGTGTCTAGTCAAAGGTTGGACTTGATTATGTCAGGATCTTTTCCAGCCTCAGTGATTCTGTGAAATGAGGAACTGTAGGTGATGGAACCTGAATTATTTGTGGTGGTTTTTCTATTTTTTCCTCCCATAAACTTACGCTAGTTTCTGATGAGAAACAGGAGGTCATCAATAGCTCTCCTGTGTACATGCTTTTAAAAATATGATGTAGGTTATGGTTACAAACTTTCTGCTTTCTCTCCACGATAGATGCATATCGTAATCCTGGCTTTTTGCAAATGTTGAAATGGATTCTGTGTGCGTGACCTTAAAGTGTCTTTGTTGCAAAGACGTAGATTTTGTTTCTGTCGCTGATTAAGCTTAGACGTAACGGTGAAATAGCTGATGCAAGTGTGCTGGTGTTAAAATGCCTGCTTGGGTGGGAAAGCAGCCCCTGCACACAGGATGAGCACAGCTGTGCACATCTGGCAGCCATCAGCGCCCGCCGTGCCAAGGCAGCGAGGGCCCAGAAACTGGAGGGGACAAGAAGGGACTGAAAGCAGGGCCAGGAAAATGCACGCTCTGCAAAGGGAACACAAGGAGGGGCCACGTAAAATAGTTCCTGGGGCGTGCGGAATAGCAATGGATATGCATAAGGGTCTATGAATATGCAACAGGCTGGTGGAATGAAAAGGTGTTTAAGGGGTGTCCCCGAAGATAACAGTGTGCTCTAGGCTGAGTGCCGTGACGACCTTTGCTCCATGCTCCTTGTCTCCTATTGTCCTTTATTAAACTTCAGTTTTCACAGCAGAGTGTTTTCGGGGACACCCGAACAAGAAACCGCAATGAAACCCGCGCCACCACCGCCAGGTGCCGGGCAGGGACGGGGGATTGCCGAGGGGCCATGGCTGTGGTTTGTGACACCTGGCTGCCCCCGAGCCCTGCCCGGGCCGGGCCGGGTCCGCCGGGTCCCGGGAGCATCCCCGGGCCGGGTCAGCCGGGTCCCGGGAGCAGCCCCGGGCCGGGTCAGTCCGACGGGCCCCGGGAGCATCCCCGGGCCGGGTCCGACGGGCCCCGGGAGCATCCCCGGGTCGGGTCCGCCGGGCCCCGGGAGCATCCCCGGGCCGGGTCCGCCGTGTCCCGGGAGCATCCCTGGGCCGGGTCCGCCGTGTCCCGGGAGCATCCCCGGGCCGGGCCGGCTCGGACAAGATTCTGCCACCGCTGGGATTCCCCCACAGCCAGCGGGCAGGGGAGAGGAGAAACCATCGGGCAGGGGCTGCAGCCAGGTGAACATCTGCCCCGCTGAGGTATCGCCTCTTTCAGTGCTCGCATCCTCCCTCGAGTGAGAGGAAAGAATAAAACGCAGGCGACGCAGAGGAGCAGCATGGGGGCTCCTTGCCCCTGTCCAGCCCTCGTTTGAGCATCCGACACCGGACACGCCGAGAGCTCCCCCCGGTTCCTCTGGGGCTGCTCAGGGATCCCCAAAGGATCCCCCGGGATCAGCGGCCATTCCAGCCGGGAGCGGATCCCGGGGAGGCTCAGGCCACGGGAAGGGTCACGCTGGCGTAAACCGTGGTGGGCTCCTGGGGGGGACAAAAATGGGGGCACAGAGGGGTCAGTGAGGTGGCCGGGCCGGGGGTGCCCCACGGGCGGGGGATGGGGACAGTCCCCCTTACCTGGGACAGCGGGGGGCGTCCCCGCGGGGTTGGGGACCCGGCCGGGGACCGGGGGGCTCCGTCGGGGGCCGGGGGTGGCCCGGTGGCCGCGGTGTAGATGGTGGTGCAGGACAGGGCGGTGGCGCTGGGGACGGTCCCTTTGGGCTTCTGAGGGAGGGGACAAAGGGTGGGCAGCGACCCGAGGGTCCCCACGGGGCCACCCTGGCCCTGCCGCCACATTTTCCCACCGGGGTTGTGCCCAGCGGGGCTCGGAAAAGGGGGAGAATCCCGGACTTTGTCCCCAAAGCCGCCGTGGGACGCTGGGGGCTCGGCAAGTTGTGTCACCCGGCTTTGTTCCCGAGATTCCCAAATTCCGGGTGAGTGGTGCAGCAGGGATGGGTGACCCCCCAAAAAAGACACCCTCCCCTTTTCCCTATGTTTCCCTTTCCCCCCTTTCTTCCCATTTTCCTCTTTTTCTCCCTTAATCCCCTTTCTGCCCTTTCTCGCCCTTTTTATCTCTTCCTCCTCTTCCTCCCCTTTTCCCCTTTTTTTTTCTGTTTTTGTTTCCCTTTTGCCCCCCACTTACTCTCCCCCTTTTTTCCCTCTTATCCCCCTTTTTCCCCCTTCCCCCCTTTTTCCCCATTTTCCCCTTTTCCCCCCTTATCCCCTTTTCCCCCATTTTCCCCCTTTTCCCCCGTTTTTCCCCATTTCCCCCCCTCACCTGCACCCGCTGCACCTGGGCGTAGATGGTGGCGCTGGCTGGGGTGACCTGGGAGGGGTCCGGGGTGACCTGGGAGGGGTCTGGGTCACCTGTGGGGTGGGGAGGGGTCGCACAATCCCGGGATCAGCCAGGTTGGAAGAGAATTCCAAGGTCTCCCAGTCCAACCGGTGTCCAGGCCCTTCTTGGTCACCCCGAGGAATCTCCAGGAATTCCTCAGACACCTCCAGGGGTGGCCACTCCAACCCTCCCTGAGCCCCTTCCAAGCCCTTTCCCTTTTCCAGGAGGAATTTCCCCAAATTTCCCACCCTGGCACAGCTCGAGGCCGTTCCCTCTGGTCCTGCCCCATTCCCTGGGATCAGATCCCAAATCCCCCCTGGCAGATCCCAGACTCCCCCTTTTCTCCAGGATCACCCCCCAGCCCCCTCAGGAATTCTCCTTTCAGGATTTTCTCTCCCAGAATTCATCCCTGGTCCCTCAGGCTGGGCTGGGGGAGGATCCCAGCGATCCCAATCCCGGTTCCTCCCCTCAGGACCCCGGTGACCGCGCGGGGACCGGCCACAGCCTGGACCCGCTGGCCTCGGAATTCCTTTCCCAACCTCCGGGATTTTGGGGATCAGCCCTCGGGGACCCCCACCCGCCCCAGGACCCCCCAAACTCACGTTTGGCCGAGCGGGTGGCCCTGGAGGTGACAATGGCCACGATGACGACGATGATGACGATGACACCGAGCACCACCAGAGGCACCAGGAGCTCTGTCCTCACCCTGGGGACACCTGGGACACGAGGGGACACACAGGGGAGGTGGCCCCGGGTCACTCAGAGCCATTTGTCACCTCTGTCACCTGATTTTGGGGCTGATTTTTGTCACCTGTCCCCTGGTTTTGGGGCTGATTTCCATCACTTTGTCCCCTGAGTTTGGGGGGGATTTTTGTCACCACTGTACCTAATTTTGGGTCTGAATTTTGTCATTTCTTCACCGGATTCAGAGGCTGAATTTGTCACCTCTGTCACCTGATTTGGGGTTGATTTGCTGCAGAACAGGAAGCAAAAGGCAGGAAATGCCCCTGAGCTCTCTTTATTTGCCTTATTTGAGCTGAAACCCCACAGGGGGCTGGATGTGGGGTTGGAAAAAAACCCAAAATCTCCCTGCTGGCTTTGAGGGGGCTTGAGGGACAGAAATATCTTGAATGTTCATGGAAATATCTCAAATATCCATAAAAATCTCTTGTCTAAAGGGGGATATCTCTAATCCATAGAAATATCTCAAATTCCCCCACCAATATCTCAAATTTCTGCCCAAATCCACCAAGTTCCCATCGCCGTGCTGACAGCACGGGGGCATCTCCAGAGCTTCCTTCCCACCCCACAACCCTGGGATTCTGAGCTTCTGGGATTCTGAGATTCCGGGGTTCCAAAATTCTGTGATTCTGGGGTTCTGGGTTCTAGGTTTCTGGGGTTCCAGGATCCGGGGGTTCTGAGATTATGGGATCACAGGATTCTGGGTTTCTGGGATCCTGTGATTCCAGGATTCTGGGATTCGAGGATTCCTGGGTTCTGGAATTCCAGGATTCTGGGGTTCTGGGATTCTGGGGTTCCAGAATTCTGGGGTTCTGGGATTCTGGGGTTCCAGAATTCTGGGGTTCCAGGGTGCTGTGGTTCCGGGATTCTGGGGTTCCAGGGTCCCTGGATTCTGGGATTCCACAGTTCTGGGGTTCCAAGATTCTGGGGTTCTGGGATCCCCAGATTCTGGGGTTCCAGGATCCCAGGATTCTGGGGTTCCAGGATTCTGGGGTTCCAGGATTCTGGGATTCTGGCATTCTGGGGTTCCGGGATTCTGGGGTTCCAGGGTTCTGGGATTCTGGGGTTCCAGGGTTCTGGGATTCTGGGGTTCCAGGATTCCGTGACTCTGGAATTCCAGGATTCCGGGACGCCAGGACCTACCCCTCTGCTCGGAGCCGCAGCGGGCCGCGTCGAAGGCGGCGCGGCGGCTGCTGACCGGGTTGCGGGCGGTGCAGACGCAGCCGAAGGCCGCGCTCCTCACGGGGAACGAGAGGCGCAGGACGCTGCCGTTCCCGGAGCAGATCCCCCCGGTGCCGTTGTCCCGGCTGTCCCAGCTGTAGGAAACATTGTCCCCCCTCTCCGAGGAGCAGTTCAGCGCCAGCGAGCAGCTCCCGTTGGAGGATTCCCGATGGAGGATCCGGATGCTGAGGTTGGCCACCGGCTCTGGGGAGAGACGGGAATTCCGGGATTTGGAATGGAGGCCGGTGTTTTCCACCTGCCACATCCCAGACCTGCTCCCAAAAGGCTGAGAACGCCCAGAAAAAAAGTCCAGGAAACACCCAGGAAAACAGCAGGAAATTCCAGGAAAAGGCTGAGAATATCCAACAAAAAGCTGGGGAGTTCCAGCAAAAGCTGGGATTGGCCTCCAGCTCTGGAAAAAAGGAGAAATGGAAATTCCAGGATTTTTTGGACATCAGAGTGGGCATTTCCCACCCCCTTGACCACCATACACCTCCCAGACCTGCTCCCAAAATGCCAGAATCACGCAGGAAAAGGCCTGGAACATCCAGGAAGAAGCCGGGATCACCATCCCGGCAATTCCCAGAGGATTTTTTTACCAAACACTTCCAGCTGGATCTGCCAGACTTCCTCCTCCGACCCCTTGTTGACGCTGTACTCGTAGAGCCGCTGGTCATCCCGGCTGGTGTTGAGGATTTCCAAGGAAAAGTTCTGCTCGCGGAAGCGCATCCGCTCTGGCTGGAACTCCGAGTGATTCCTGCCGGAAATCTTCACCAGGAATTTCTTCGTCAGGGGCTCCTTTATGATTTTTTTCCAGGAGGCTTCCCCGAATTGCTCGGTGCGTTCCTGCAGCTCGCGGGGGATCCGCAGGAGCGTCGCCTCTCCCAAAATTCCCAGCACAGTTTCCTTGGCTCCGATCCCTGGGAAGAGGGGAGGGAGAAGGGTTGAAGCTCATGGGATTGTCCTCATCCCAATCCTGGAGGAATCCTCAGGGATCAGGTCAGGCATGGCGCTGGATCCAGCCTGGTGAGCCACAGGATCCCAAATCCATGGGAGAAACCTCCAGGCCCAAGGGAGAGGCCCCAAATCCAAAGGGAAGACCCCAAATCCAAAGGAGAGATCTCAAATCCAAGACAGAAACCCCCAGATCCAAAGGAGAAACCCCAAATCCAAAGGAGTCTCTTTCCCAAATTCAAACATCCCAGAATTTTGGGAATTGCAGGCACCTGGGAGCAGGCTCAGGAACAAATCCCACATTTTCCTTCTGGCTGAGGTGGTCCCAGGTTGGTTTTTTTGGAAAAAAACCTGAGGGGTGTCATCTCCCACACCCCAGGGTTCCCGTGGGAGGATTTTTCCCCCCAAACCCTCTTTGTTGTTTTTTATTCCAAGCCAATGATTCAGAATTTCCTCGATTTGGATTTTTCTCGACTCACATTTTCCCTCATTTCTGGGCAAACAAATTTTGATTTTGTACAAAATTGTGGGAGGAGGAGGAGGAGGAGCCAAATCTGGAGCTGCCAAAAGCAGAGAGGGGTCCCCATTGTGCCACCCCCACTTTTCCCAAAGTCTTTTTTCCATGGGTTTTGGCCCATGAAGGAAAGGGAAAAGCAAAGGAAGAAAACGAAGAAAAAGGAAGAAAAAGGGAAAACGGAAAAGTGAAATGGCCTCCTACTGGTGGAACCTGGAATTTTGGCTGGAAGCCTGGAGGGAATTTGGCTCTGCAGACCCCCCCAAAACCAAGGATTGGCCCCATTTTCATGGAAGTTGTCCCATGCCAAAGGGTTTGAAGCCAACAATCCTCAAGGTCCTTCCAGCACAAACCATTCCATGATTTTATTCCTTGGGAATCTCCCAGCCCAGAGATCTGAGCCAATCCTCCGGGAATCTTCCTCTGGAACATCCCAACTCCCTCTGGCACTGAATCAATCCCTCAGGGCTCTCACAACCCCGCTGAAATTCGCCCAAATCCTTCACTTTTCCAGCTGAATTTTTTCCATCATGTTTTAATCCCCTACTCCCTCTGGGAGAGTTTTAGGGACACTCCTCACATCCCACCTGGAGCACCTCCACCCCAAAGCCCTAAACCCCTTCAGATCCACCAAAAAAAACCCCCAAAATCCAGGAAAAACCACCCAAACCCCCCCGAAATTGGGGGAGGAAACCCTACGTACCCCAAAGAGCTCCGAGGGTGAGGAGCAGCTGGAGCCAAGCCCCGGAGCCCATCCCGGGATCACGGAGCCTCCGCGGCTCCGGGGTTCAGAGCAGGTGCTGACAGGAAGATCTTCACCCCCGGCCTTCTCATTTCCTGTTTTTTGGGGGCTGAATGAGTCGAACTTTTGCCTTTTATCTCCTTCGGTCGGAAATTATTCAAAGCGCAGGGTTGTGCTCCGTGCCCCAAAAACGCTGCGGAGAAGAGCAGAAAATGGGTTTGGTTTTTCTGCCAGAATTCCCTCATCCCGCTGAGGGTCCTCAAACTGCTCTGAAAAAAGAGGAAAAATCCAGTTTTGAAGGAATTTCATGGATTTTTCCAGCTCTGGAGAGGTGGAAGCTTCGGAGCCATCCCGCTAAGGGACGTGGGCATGTCCTCGGAGCATCCCAAAATTTGTTTCATCCCCCAGGGCTGGGACCACCCAGAAAGGTGAGAAAACCCCAAATTTCCCGGGAAGATCCCAGCTTGGAGCTCCATGGGATCCACAGAGAGGAGGAGAAGGACGGGAGGTCACCAAAAACTCACCTGGGAGAAGCCAAATCCTCGTTCTGGGTGGATTTGGGTGGATTTGGGATCAGCTGGGGATGGAGATGGTCCTTCCTGGTGGAATGGATGGGAAAGGCCAGAAAAATCCAGTCATGGATGTGCTGCTGGAAAATCTTGACTGGTTTTGGTGGAGGATCTTTGAAATCTGAGAGTTTTTGCCTTTTTCTCCAAATTTTGCTGGTTTTCCCAGTTTTCAGGGTGTGGATGGAGCAGGAATTCCAGGATCCCTGAGGTTGGAGAAGAGCTCCAGGATCCAACAATCCAAGATGTCACCGACTCCCACCTTGTTGTTCCTTGGACACCTCCAGGGATGAAAATTCCAGGATTTTAACCCAAATCCAATCCTGGGATTGGATCAAATCCCTCTGCTTTCCAGGGAAGACCGGCTCAGAGTTTTCCACGAGGTTTTGCTGCCGGGCAATGATTATTGAATGACAAAAAAACCCGAAACCACCCAAAAAACCCCACCCGGAACATCCTGTAAGGCTCCTCCTTCCTTGCTCAGAAAGCACCTGATAGGTAAAAACCCAAAACCATCATTTCCCAAAAATCAGGCTTTTACAGAAAAAATACACATGGGGAAGCGCAGGATGAATAAATTCAGGAAAAACAGCGGTGGTTCCTCCTGGAAACTTCTGGAATGGTAGCTTGGAAGGATTTTGGGGTGGCAAAGTCGTTGGTTTTGGGGTGTTTGGGGGGATTTTGGGGGGCATTTTGTCTTTTTTGGGGTGTTTTTAGAGGCACAAATCCCACCTGGAATTCCCATGGCCAGGCTGGATTTCTCCATGGATTTCTCCACCAGTTCAACCCCCAGGTCCCAAAAGGAAAATTTTCAACCTGGAAATGCTCCAGAAAAGCCAAAAAATCCCCCCAAAAAAGTAATTTTCCCCACCTGGGCTTGGCTGGCATCGAGCAGGAAAAATTAATGAAGTGAAATCATCCAGAGTAAAACTCCTGTTGGGAAGCACTTTTGGGAACAAGGAACATAAAATGGCTGGAAAAACCTCTTTTAAGTGGAAATAATGATCCTAAATTTGTTCTTTTCCCCATCAATTCATCCTGGAATTTTCTGTCTGGAAGCTCCCCCGAGATTAATTAATTATTATTATTATTAATTAATTATTAATTATTAATTTACAGAGTTTGTTTTTTTTTTTTTTTTAATATCCTGGATTTTATAAGTGGAATAAAAGCTCAAAATCTCCACATGGGAATGGATCAAGACCCCAAAAAATGATTTCCAAGGGGGGAAAATCACTGGAAAAATCAACTTTGGTGTTAAAATCATCATCCAAGAATCAGGAATTATCCCGAGACACTCCTCAGATGGGGCTGGAATTATTTGGAATTTTCCAAGGAGGTGTCTGTTGACCCTTGGATGATTCCAAGGAATCTTTGGGAATCTTTGCTTAAAGTGGAATTTTTTGGGATTTATGGAGGTGAAATCCCCTATATTTCTTCTTTTTTGGGCTGTGTTGGTGGGGCTGGGAGCATCCCAAACTTTTCCAGGTTTTTCTTAGAGGCTGAGGGATCATCTCCATCATTCCCGAGATTTCTTCCCACCCCTCCGGATCCGTGTCCCACCCTCCAGAGCCAGATCCTCCTCTGGGGGACAAAGGGAGGGATTTTGTCCCCAAAAACGGAGCTGGGGGGAAACATCTCCGAGCTTCTTCCATCATCCCCCGATCCCTGAGCTGTGGGATGTCCCAGCCCATGGAAAAAATCCAGAAAATCCTAAAAATGTGGTGTTCAGGGTGGAATTTAATGTGCAAAGCAACATTTGGGAAATCCAAAACCGACCCCAAACCCAGGGAGCACCAAAGGCCATCCCAACAAAAGAGGATCCCCCAAAATTCCAGGGAACCCCGGGGAAGGCTGAGATCGGGGCTCCCCGCAGGTTTTGGGGTGAGGGGCGGGGAGGGTTTCCAGATTAACCACAAACGGAACGATCCCGGCCATTCCGCTCCCTCGCGCGGCCGCGTTTTTCCGCGCCCGGAGGATTCCGGGATCTTCGTCCGGGCGTTGGTCCCGTGGTGGTGGAAGGTGAGGAGGTGACCGGGGGCGTCACCCGCGGGGTCCTCAAGCCACGGCGAGCAGGAGGAAGAGGAGGATGAGGTGTCCCAGGGCCACCAGGGCGCTGGGCGTGGCACGGGTGACGGACGAGGACTCATCTGGAGGCAGAGACAGGAGATGGACCCCAAAGCCATGGGAGGAGGGAGAAGGGATCCCCCACCCCTGGGATCCACCTTGGGACTGGGATCTGCTCCCAGGGATCATTTTGGGGGGCGCAGGGACCCCCCTGGCTGATTTTGGGGTTCAGGGACCTCCCCAGTACCCCATGGGGTCATTTTGGGGGTTCAGGGATCTCCAGAGTCCCCCTGGGCTCAGTTTTGGGGTTCAGGGATCCTCCAGCACCACAGTGGAGTCAATTTTGGGGTGGAATCCAAAATCAGGACAGAGGAACGGCCTTGAGCTGTGCCAGGAGAGGCTCAGGGTGAGAAATTTGGGGAAATTCCTCCTGGAAATGGGGAAAAGGCTTTGGAAGGGGCTCAGGGAGGTTTGGGATGTCCATCCCTGGGGGTGTCCCAGGAACCCCTGGAGATCCCCCTGGATGACCAGGCAGGGTCAGCCCCAGGGAGGTTCGGGGTGTCCATCCCTGGGGGTGTCCCAGGAACCCCTGGAGATCCCCCTGGATGACCAGGCAGGGTCAGCCCCAGGGAGGTTAGAGTTTGTTTTTTTTTTTTTTTTAATATCCTGGATTTTATAAGTGGAATAAAAGCTCAAAATCTCCACATGGGAATGGATCAAGACCCCAAAAAATGATTTCCAAGGGGGGAAAATCACTGGAAAAATCAACTTTGGTGTTAAAATCATCATCCAAGAATCAGGAATTATCCCGAGACACTCGGCAGATGGGCCTGGAATTATTTGGAATTTTCCAAGGAGGTGTCTGTTGACCCTTGGATGATTCCAAGGAATCTTTGGGAATCTTTGCTTAAAGTGGATTTTTTTTGGGATTTATGGAGGTGAAATCCCCTATATTTCTTCTTTTTTGGGCTGTGTTGGTGGGGCTGGGAGCATCCCAAACTTTTCCAGGTTTTTCTTAGAGGCTGAGGGATCATCTCCATCATTCCCGAGATTTCTTCCCACCCCTCCGGATCCGTGTCCCACCCTCCAGAGCCAGATCCTCCTCTGGGGGACAAAGGGAGGGATTTTGTCCCCAAAAACGGAGCTGGGGGGAAACATCTCCGAGCTTCTTCCATCATCCCCCGATCCCTGAGCTGTGGGATGTCCCAGCCCATGGAAAAAATCCAGAAAATCCTAAAAATGTGGTGTTCAGGGTAGAATTTAATGTGCAAAGTAACATTTGGGAAATCCAAAACCGACCCCAAACCCAGGGAGCACCAAAGGCCATCCCAACAAAAGAGGATCCCCCAAAATTCCAGGGAACCCCGGGGAAGGCTGAGATCGGGGCTCCCCGCAGGTTTTGGGGTGAGGGGCGGGGAGAGTTTCCAAATTAACCACAAACGGAACGATCCCATTCCGCTCCCTCGCGCGGCCGCGTTTTTCCGCGCCCGGAGGATTCCGGGATCTTCGTCCGGGCGTTGGTCCCGTGGTGGTGGAAGGTGAGGAGGTGACCGGGGGCGTCACCCGCGGGGTCCTCAAGCCACGGCGAGCAGGAGGAAGAGGAGGATGAGGTGTCCCAGGGCCACCAGGGCGCTGGGCGTGGCACGGGTGACGGACGAGGACTCATCTGGAGGCAGAGACAGGAGATGGACCCCAAAGCCATGGGAGGAGGGAGAAGGGATCCCCCACCCCTGGGATCCACCTTGGGACTGGGATCTGCTCCCAGGGATCATTTTGGGGGGCGCAGGGACCCCCCTGGCTGATTTTGGGGTTCAGGGACCTCCCCAGTACCCCATGGGGTCATTTTGGGGGTTCAGGGATCTCCAGAGTCCCCCTGGGCTCAGTTTTGGGGTTCAGGGATCCTCCAGCACCACAGTGGAGTCAATTTTGGGGTGGAATCCAAAATCAGGACAGAGGAACGGCCTTGAGCTGTGCCAGGAGAGGCTCAGGGTGAGAAATTTGGGGAAATTCCTCCTGGAAATGGGGAAAAGGCTTTGGAAGGGGCTCAGGGAGGTTTGGGATGTCCATCCCTGGGGGTGTCCCAGGAACCCCTGGAGATCCCCCTGGATGACCAGGCAGGGTCAGCCCCAGGGAGGTTTGGGATGTCCATCCCTGGGGGTGTCCCAGGAACCCCTGGAGATCCCCCTGGATGACCAGGCAGGGTCAGCCCCAGGGAGGTTTGGGATGTCCATCCCTGGGGGTGTCCCAGGAACCCCTGGAGATCCCCCTGGATGACCAGGCAGGGTCAGCCCCAGGGAGGTTTGGGATGTCCATCCCTGGGGGTGTCCCAGGAACCCCTGGAGATCCCCCTGGATGACCAGGCAGGGTCAGCCCCACATTGGACCAATGACCTCAGAGCTCCTTCCCAACCCAAACAACTCCGTGGGATCGCTCTGAGAGCCCCCAGATGCCCCCCAAACCCCTCTGGGGACACCCCAAAGCCCAGGCCAGCCCTCCCCGGCGCCGTGTCCGGCCGTGGCCGTACCTGTCCAGCTGCAGGGGGGCCGGAAGGTCAGCGAGGCATTGCTGGAGGACACGGGGTTGCTGACCCTGCACACGTAGGTGTCCACCGAGGGGTTGAAGGAGACCTCTAGGACCGGGCCCTCCTTCATCAGGGGCTTCGGGGGTGGGATCCACTCGTAGGTGACCCCTTGGAGGCCCACGGAGCAGCTCAGGGTGGCGTTGCACTGCTGGGGGTCACCGTTGGTGGTGGCCGTCACGCGGGGCTTCGGGACCAGGTCTGCAGGAGAGGCCGGGCTGGCACCGAGACCTCTGGAGCTCTGGGACAGTGCCAGGGTGGCACCGAGTCCCCCTGGAGCTCTGGGACAGTGCCAGGGTGGCACCGAGTCCCTCTGGAGCTCTGGGACAGTGCCAGGATGGCACAATGTCCCCCTGGAGCTCTGGGACAGTGCCCAGGATGGCACCGAGTCCCCCCGGAGCTCTGGGACAGTGCCAGGATGGCACCGAGTCCCTCTGGAGCTCTGGGACAGTGCCCAGGATGGCACCGAGTCCCCCCGGAGCTCTGGGACAGTGCCAGGGTGGCACAATGTCCCCCTGGAGCTCTGGGACAGTGCCCAGGGTGGCACCGAGTCCCCCTGGAGCTCTGGGACAGTGCCAGGGTGGCACCGAGTCCCTCTGGAGCTCTGGGACAGTGCCAGGGTGGCACCGAGTCCCCCTGGAGCTCTGGGACAGTGCCAGGATGGCACCGAGTCCCTCTGGAGCTCTGGGACAGTGCCAGGGTGGCACCGAGTCCCCCTGGAGCTCTGGGACAGTGTCCCCATGGGATTCTTGGACAACCAGGGTGTCACAATGTCCCTGTGGGGCACTGGGACAACCCCCAGGATGTCACGAGGTCCCCATGAGGTTCTTGGACAACCCCCAGGATGTCACAACGTTCCCCTACCCCCCCGTGGGGCTCTGGGACAATCTCTCAAGGACATCACATCGTCCCCAACCCCCCCGTGGGGCTGTGGGACAATTCCCTGTCCCCAAACTCACCGTAGACCTTCAGCTGGACCTTCTGGATGCTCTCCCTGCCCGTGTCGTCCTCCAGGTACAGGCGGTACTCGCCGCTGTCCCCGAGGCCCAGGGGGCTCATTTTGAGGGTGCTGTTGTCCAGGAGCTCCAGGCGGCCCCGAAAGCGGCTCGGGGGGTACGTGGGCTCCTCCCCCCGTTTCCTGCCCGCGATTCTCAGCTGGTTTTCCCAGCGCCAGTGGATTTGGGAGTATTTTAAGGGATTTTGGGGGCTGCGGGGGTTCAGAAAGGCCACCCCGCCCACGGCTCCGGTCACCTCCGAGGGTGGGGGTTCTTCTGCCCAGGCTGCCAAAAAAATTTGGGATGGGGGAGTTGGGTGGCTGGTCCTTCCCCAGGTCTCATCCCACCTGGAATTCCAGACACGTTCAAAACGCCTGGAATTGTCACTCAAATGTCAAAAATAAAACTGAAACAACTCGGCCCTTTCCGGAGCCCTTGGTATGAAGAGGGGCAGGACCAGCATTTTGAATTTTCCCACCCCAAATCCCTCCGGGGTGAATTTTTCCCTCATTTCCATTTTTTTTTGGGACTCCACGGGGGGCAGTCTGTCCCCTCCGGGCGGGGTGGCTCCGGTGGGGAGGGACCCGGTGGTGGCACCTTGTGGGGACAGGGTGGGTTCACCCCAAGGTCCCCAGCTGTCCCCGAAGCCGCGTTCCCACCCCAGCCCCTCATCCAGCCCCGTACCTGGCGCGGTGAAGAGGAGGAAGAGGAGGAAGAGGAGGAAGAGGAGGAGGTTCGGCGCCAGCCCCGGCACCATCTTCTGTCACCAGCGTCACCTCCACAGGTGGGACACGGCCAAACCCAGGGTGGGACCCCCCGTGGGACCCCCCTGATGGGGCAGCTGCTCCCCAAGGACACCCGAGGCCGGAGCCCCCCCTGACCCCAAAACCCGGGACTTGAAGGGGAAGGGGGAGACCACGTGATGGAGGTTCCTGTTCCGGGCCCAAAACCACATTTTGGGGTGTGACAGAATGTCACAAGGGTGTCACAGACAGCCCCTGAGCCAGGCAGGGACACAGCGCCCCACGGATCCCCCAAATCCCCACCGGAGTGACCCCAAATCCCTCAAATCCTCAATAAAATCCACCTGGGGCCTCCAAAATCCATCAAATCCTCAACAAAACCCATCTGGGACTCCCCAAATCCCTCAAATCCCCTCCAAAACCCACCCAGACTCCCCAAAACCCCTCAAATCCCCTAAAATCTACCCAGACTCCCCAAAATGCCTCAAATCTCCCCAAATCCATCCAGGACCCCCACCACTGACCCCATGGCCAGTGGGACACTGACCCCAAGGGTCACATCTCCCCCTCCTGTGGGTGACCAGAGCGACCCCAAAGCCTGGGGGCAGCCAGGGGGGATTTGGGATCTGCCAGGGGGAATTTGGGATCTGATCCCAGGGAATGGGACAGGATCAGAGGGAACGGCCTCGAGCAGTGCCAGGGCTGGAAATTTGGGATAATTTTTCCATGGGAAAAGGGTTGTGAGGCACCAGAAGGGGCTCGGGGAGGGTTGGGATCCCCACCCCTGGAGGTGTCCGGGGAATCCCTGGATGGCCACACTGGATGGACGCTGGATGGACATTGGATGGACGCTGGATGACCACTGGATGACCACTGTCTGGCCAGGTCGGGCTCTATCCCAGCTCGCTCCCGGAATTCTCCCCCAGCCCCAAACAATCCCGGGGGGATTTTCTGGGGTCGCCGCTCCAGACGCCGCCGAGGAGGGGCTGGAATTCCAGCCCGGATTCCTCCCCGCCCGGCCACACTCGGCGCCTTTGTCGCGGCTCCCTGGGGCCACCGCTGTCCCCTCGCTGGGGACAAACGGCCGCCGGCGTCTTCCCACGGGCGGGGGGCGGCGAACAAAGGGACCCCCGCGACCCCCGCTGGGCCCTGACCCACTTGGGGCCGGCCCGGGGCTGTCCCCGTCCCGCTCGGGTGTCGCCTGGCTGCGGTGACACCGCCGCGTCCCCCCCCCCGGGGCCGCCAAAAGCGAGGGAGGAGAAATGGGAACGGCGATTGGCGGGCTGCAAATTAACCCCGATATGCAAATGAGGGTCATTAGAATAAATTACGGCGCCCCGACGGTGGCGTTTCTGCTTGTCCTTTAGGATGAGGAGGGGCTGGAGCTGCTCCAGGGGGGATTTCGGGATGGATTTTAGGGAAAACTCTGGATTTTGGGGTGGCTTGGGTGATCCTGGAGGGTCTTTTTTGTTCGGGATTTTCCATGATTCCCCTGCGGGGACCCCTCGGGGCTGTCACCCCCCGGCCACCCCTGTGGCAGAGGGGACAAGGACATGTCGGGGGTGGGCGCTCTCAGCCCCCAAAGCTCGCAGGGAATTAATTTTAATTGCCCCGGGAGGGCGCGGGTGTTGGGGGGTTTTGCTTTCCCTTTGCAGCGAGCGCCGGGGACACTTGGGGACATCGCGGTGGCGCCGCTGTCCCCAGCTCGGGCACCCCAGCAGCAGGATCGGGACCTTTGGGGAGGAATATCCAACCCAAAATGCACTTTACAACCCCAAAATCCCCGTTCCAACCCCAAAAATCCTCCCCGTTCCAACCCCAAAATCCTTCTTGTTCCAACCCCCAAATCTCCTGTCCAGCCCCAAAATGTTGTCCTTAAGGTCCCTTCCACCCAAAACCAGTCTGGTCCAGCAGCTCCCAGTTCCTCGCTGGGGCAGAGGAACCAGGGTTTTTATTTTTAAGATTTTTCATCCATTCTTTAAGAACATTTTTAGAACATTTTAAGATAATTTTTTAATCTGCTCCAGCTCACTTCCCCCTCACCCCAAAATTTCACCACGACCGTCTGCATGTGACCTTCCCAGAATAATCCTGATTGGGGAAGTGCTGCTTTCCCAAAAATTGTCATTGTCCCATGTCCGGGGGTGGCTTTTGGGCGGGACAGAGGGGACAGGAGCATCTCCTTTTTGGCCAGAGCTGAGAGAACCGGGGCTGGCCCCACGGAGCACCTGAGCCACTTGTCCCACACGGCCACGGTGACACCCTTGGCCCAGGTGACACTCTTGGTCCACCATCATCTTTCCATGGAAACTGGGTGCTTTAAATGGAACACCTCAAATTTCACTTTTCAGTGTGAACTGTCCCCCCTCGACGCGTTGTTTTCGTCACAAACCACATCGGAAGCCCTGCCCTCCATGCGGGCACTGAAAAGCCACGCAGGCGCTCTTCTCCTCCCTCTTCATGGCTAGAATTTTTGTGTGCTGTTGCCTCAAATCCTCTCCGTTTCCGGACACCCATGGCCGTGTTTTGGATCCCTCTTCTCGCCGTCCTCACGCTCCTCCACCCAACCAGTGAGTGCCAGGTGCTCCTTGTCCCGTGGGAAGGAGATCTTGGGGTGTTTTTTGGAGTTTTTGGGGTTGAGGGATGTGTGGGAGCACCAGAGCAGCTCCACGGGGTGGATTTGTGCCTGGTGTTGGGATCCAGGGATGCCATGGAGCTCCTGCTGCCATGGAAACCTGCTGCTAGAGAGCTGTCCATCCCTGCTGTCCATCCCTGGTGTCCATCCCTGCTGTCCATTCCTGGTGTCCATCTGCTGCCCATCCCTGCTGTCCATCCCTGGTGTCCACCCCTGGTGTCCATCCCTGCTGTCCATCCCTGGGGTCCATCCCTGCTGTCCATCCCTGCTGTCCATCCCTGCTGTCCATCCCTGGTATCCATCTCTGCTGTCCATCCCTGCTGTCCATCCCTGCTGTCCACCCCTGCTGTCCATCCCTGGTGTCCATCCCTGGTGTCCATCCCTGGTGTCCATCCCTGCTGTCCACCCCTGCTGTCCATCCCTGCTGTCCATCCCTGGTGTCCATCTGCTGTCCACCCCTGCTGTCCATCCCTGGTGTCCATCCCTGCTGTCCATCCCTGGTGTCCACCCCTGCTGTCCATCCCTGCTGTCCACCCCTGCTGTCCATCCCTGCTGTCCATCCCTGGTGTCCATCCCTGCTGTCCATCTGCTGTCCACCCCTGCTGTCCATCCCTGCTGTCCATCCCTGCTGTCCATCCCTGGTGTCCAACTCTGGCCCAGCCTCTGGCCAGCTGCTGTCCGGGAGCTCCTGGCAGAGGTTATTCCATGGAATTGCCATCCCTGGAGTGACCAAGGCCAGGATGGACCCACCTGGGATGCTGGAAGGTTCCAGGAGGTGGAATGAGACAATTTTAAGTTCCCTCCCAACCCAAACCTCTCCAGAATTCCACGATTCTGCTCCGAGGAGCAGCTGCAGGTCTGGCCAGGAGCTCCCTGTCCTGCTGGGCCCCTGAGCTGGGACTTTGGTGCTCAGAGCGAACCTTTCCCACCTTTCCAAGCCATCTCCAACTTTCTCCCTTCCATTTTCACCTCCAGGCTCCGTCCTCACGCCCTTTTGCACGTGCCAGGCGTTCCTTGTCCCTTGGCAAGGAGCCCGTGGGGGGTTTGGGGTGGTTTTGGGGACCCCCAGGAAGGGGGGGATGTGTGGAATCGGCTCCACAGGATTGGGCAATCTCCCAGAGATGGGGCAACCAGGGGCAAAGATGCACTGGCCACTCCTCTGGCCATGGGAACCCTCTGGAAAAGAGAGATCAGGTGCAGATGTTCTCCAGACACCCCCCTTTGCCTTCAGCTCCTGCTCCTCTCTGCGTTGGTTTTTGGAGGTCTCATCCTGAGGTGTTTTCTGGCTGAAAAGAAGGAAATTGGGCAAAGTTCGGCCCCAGCCCTTCCCCGCAGACTCTGAGGGGGTTTATCATGTGAACCATCCCGTGGCTGCATTGTTCAGCAACTTTCCTGCGAGTTTATCTTGCCCTGCAGCTTTTTCCCTTCCTGATGCTCCACTGTCCGTGCCGCAGAGGCTGAGTGAGACAGAAATTCCGAGCCCAACCTTGGGGCTGAGCCGGGATCAGTTCCCTGTTAGAAAAACTGGGAAGAAAAACTCCATTCCCAGTCTAGACTGGGTGACACAGTTTCATGGAAATGGGAAGTTGCAAAAATAGCTAAAAGAACTCTTTCCTCCTTGAATTGGTGACCCAAGGTCTTGGTATGGCCCCTGGAGGGAAGGGATGGATCCAGAGGGATCCTGGACCTTGTCCTGGGCTGCATCCAGAGGAGTGTGGGAGGGTTCTCATCTCTGGAGTGGTGAGATCCCATCTGGAGTGGTGAGAGTCCACCTGGAATGGTGAGATCCCGTCTGGAGTGGTGAGAGTCCACCTGGAATGGTGAGATCCTGCCACGTCTGGTGCCCCCAACATGAGAAGGTCATGGAACTGTTGGAGCGAGTCCGCAGTTTCCGAGGGGCCCTTCCCTGCGGCCACAGGGAGCGCTCAGCCTGGAGCAGCCGTGCTGGAGCTGCCCCGTCCACCCTGGCCGTGTCCAAGGCCGGGCTGTTTCCAAATCCTCCTTCCCCTTTCCCTCTCAGTTCCCCTCCGGGCTCCGTCCTTGGCACGAGGCTGCACACGAGGCTGCGGGGGCTCAGCCTGGGGGTGGCCTCGCGCTCTTCCTTCTCCCAGGGACCCTTCCATGAGCCCCCCATGAGCCTTCAAACACCCCCAGCCCTGATGGGCTTCAGTGTCTGGGTTCTGCAACTTCATCCCACCCTGATCCCACCTGGATCCCATCTTCATCCCACCTTTTCATCCCATCTTCAGCCACCCTTCATCCCACCTCCAGCCCAAACTCAGCACTCCGCCCCAGCTTCATCTCAGCTTTTCATCCCACCTTCATCCCAAGTTCTCTCTCCACTTTCTCTCCCCAGCGAGCGCCAGCGACACCACGGAGGTGATCGGGGTCCTGGGTGGGTCCGTGACCTTCCGCACCCACAACACAGGAAGAAAGCCAGCACTATGGAATTTTGGGAATGACCCCATAGTTACTGTGGTAGTTGAAGACCCTCCTCCACCAGTATTTTATAAAGATGAATTCGAAACCCGTTTTGCTGTCTCTGAGAAGGGCCGAGCGCTCAGCATCTCCCAGCTGAGGATGGAGGATGCCGGGACCTACTCTGTAATCACGGATGGAAAAACATCCACCTTCAACCTCCAGGTGTTTGGTAGGTGCCTTTAGTGCTGTTTTGG